ATTATCAAACAATTAACAATAATAATTTATTTGAGCCGAAATCAAATTTATTATTAAAACTTGCCCAATTAGTAAATTAATTAATTAAACTTTCTATTTTACTCAATTTGTTCGTTATTTCATTACTTTTAAAAACACAACATAAATATTCGATATGATAGAAAAAGATGCTTCATATCTTATTCATGTTGTACTAGAAGCTCGTGATTTAATACTACCAAAAATAATACTAAAACGGCATGGTAAATATTGTTTCTAGTCATCAAAAAAAATAATTAGTATTTATTTATTATATCCATTTTATGAAATAAATGTCAGTTCATAATAACATTAAAAATTCCATTTATGAAATGAACAAATAAGTTTTATAATATTTGTGCAATTGAATTGTTCTATTTCTACATATGTATGCATTCTTTGAACTGTGATTTACTTCTAATTCACTCTAAACATACAGTCTTTTCACATTCTCACTTAAATTATTCATATAATCATTGAGTTCATTAATTCAAACTTTCATAATACTCTAGTGATTCTTTTTCTTTTTTCCTTACTGTCTTTCTGACATGACCCTCTTCTGCATTCAAACACAACTGAAGATATTTTCATAAATAAATAAACGACAACAAGCATTTCCAAGAGGATTTCTTAATATTTACCGAAAAGTGATGAGTAGATGATGTTCATCGAAATCATTAAAGAGTACATATGATAATAGATATGATGATTTTATTGAAGGAGATGAAGAAACATTCATGTCATTAGCTGTATCTTGATGTTTAAAGGATTCACTTCATGGTGAAGATAATGTTTTCGTTCAGATATGAAATTAATAGTTGATTATGAAAATCATCCATTATGGATTACACTAGATGGTCATATCTGTATCGATTAGTATACAAACCAATCATATTATTTGAATTTATTAAATTATGTACATTAAGTTAATAATTAAAATTAAAACATAATTGATATTTTACTAAAAGTTATTTTCCTAATGTTTTAAAAACTCTTCTACAAGATTCATAAATTCAAAAATATTGAATAATAACAATAGAGAATATTCTTAATGTAAACACAATAACAGAAAATGTTCAAGATTTCATTTTTCAAATAATTCCGAGAAAATAATAAATGAACAAATATCTAATAATATTCGATATTTATATGAAAAAAACGAATCATGTTAATGAAGATTTAAAAAAAAAAAGTCTCATTTGAAATTCTTCCAAATAAAATTAAACGTTTATGTAAACGATGTCAACAATTCGAATATTGAACTTCGACCAAGTTTAAGAAATATGTGTTCTATCATGTGATGTTGGTAAATCTTTAATTGGTGTTACGACTGCTTGTACAAGAAATAAAAGAAACTAATTGGATAAAATTACAAAATTTAGATCATATTGCTAAAGTTAAATAACCCTAGAATTTAAAAAAAAATATTTATCTTCGATGTTTACTTTTATATATGATGAATCTAAATAAGTTTTCATACATGTCAATATTTAGTATGTTATCCTAAACAAAGTGATAATAAAATAATTGTTTTTTTTTCTGATATTATGTTCGACTTAAAAACTTTTCCCCAGTTGTTGATACATCATTTGATTTATCTGCTGCTAATGTATTAACACATATTTCAACTCATGGAGGGTCAAGAAGACAATCAGCACAATGACTTGGTCGTATTGTACCACATAAACAGATGCTCATATTCAAGAATAGAATAGTTTTTTGTTTATTCACTTGTTTCTTAAGATAGTGTTCAAAATGTTTTATTTAGTTACATGACAAATTTTTCTTATTAATCAAGGTTATTCATACAAAGTAATAACAGAAAAAAAACAAATCTACATGAACATAAGGAAAAAGTTTCATCGTACCATCGATGATTTCTATTCTAGGATGTGTTAAAATATCAAATAAAGTGAAATATGAACTCTTTAAAAAATATTCAAAATAATTTTCCTAATGTACATTATTTGGGGTGGTACTTTACTTTTACTTTATGAAATAAAGGTAAATAAAGACAAATTAAAGAAATAAAGAATTTTTCTTTTTCGAGGGATTATTATGTTGGAAGAGTTCTACAATCACAGAATTCATATTCAAAAAGATTTTTATCATAAAATAAATGTATTTATATCGAAAACAAGCTAGTTGACACATACTATAAGTTACTGTTTTTTCTCCAATATTTAGCAGACTTCGAGTAGAAAAACTAATATCATATTTTGCATCAACATTACAAATGAAACTGACCTATGAATATTTCAAAAATTTTTAAGATCTTGTATTTTCATCGAAAAATTTTCTTGTACTCTCCCTCTCAGGACGAATAAGTCAAAAAAAATGAATTTTGTCCAAAATTAGTTTCCACAATGGCAAATAAGCTCTCTAATTGTAAAATGATAATACAACACAAAATGGACAATATTTAGACGACAAAAAAAAATCGTTTTTCATGGGTTTTCTTTTTGCGACTCCACCATCCTGAGAGGGAGTACAAGAAAATTTTTCGATGCAAAAAAAAAAAGATCTTAAAAATTTTTGAAATATTCATAGATCAGTTCCATTTTATATGATATTAGTTTTGATTCAATCTTCACTTTTCTAATCGACGTTTGCTAAATATTGGAGAAAAAACAGTAAATCATAAAATGTCTCAACTAGCTTATTTTCGGTATAAATACATTTATTTTATGATAAAAAACTTTCAGAATATGAATCTTTATTTTCGAAAAATAACAAATTCATTTATTATATGTCATCGCTATTGTAGTAAAAAAATAAAGACATCAACTTTAGGTTGAATTTTTATTTTTTCTTTGTGAAAAATATATCGAAAATTCTAGAATATGCATTTTCGTTTGTATCATTTGTTCTAAAAATTGGAATGTTTCTTTGGCAGGCCAGTGTCGTCATCATGCCACATTTTAGATTGAGATAAGCTACACACACAAAATCCCCATTGCATTAAAATTGCACAAATCTTCTAAAAAGATATAACTGCCGAAATTGAATGGTACCCAATTCATAATAAATAAATGAAGAAAATCTAATTTCTTTTTTATTGTCTAAATCAAGAGTTGAATAAATGTCGTTTTGTGGTTTAAAAGAATTTTCTTAGTACAATTTTTTATTAAAAATCAATGGATTACCAAGAATAGTGTTCTTTTTACTTTTATGAATAATATAAAATTTGTTACATCGAATTTCTTTGAGTTTGTAATAAGATTATTCATGATTATTTTAAACATCTGTGTAACAAGTCTTTGCAGAACGTATTTGCTTTACTTTTGACAACTTAATATCTGCTTTCTTAGATGTTGTCTTTTCTCTCATTAAATATACATTGTATCAAGTGAATATTCAAATGCAATATCATCAGTTATTGTTAGAATTATTTTAATTGATTCATATTCATGTCATATTCTTTAAATTTTTGTTCGTGTTACATAATTCTGAAATGTTTTACTTCTCTTGAGTTCTTCTTCTGTTTCTGTCATTTGAGTCAGTATTTATAAAAAGAGACTAATTTATGTTCGAATTAGATTTCATCTTTAAATGAATTTTTTTGATATTTTGGCAATTTATTCTGACCTTCACAGTTGTTCGATCTGTGATCATATTTGTATGTTACATATAACATACGTGATATTTCTATTTGCTGCTTTTTTTTTTCTTTTAGAATAGATTGTGATTGAATTAAAACAATCGATTATCAGATCATAATTCTTAGTTTCTAATTCAGGCTACAATATAAACGATAAAATTTATGATTAGCTAATAGTAAGCACATAATTCTAGATATTTTTGTGTATTTTTCAAAATTTAAAGATCTAATGATTAGTATGTACATTTCATTTCACATTTTCTAATTAGAATTTATGATAATAGGATTCAATAAGAGTTGGTTATTTTTTTTTCTTCTTTGTACAGCCTCTATTTATGTCATATTTGAACAATATTATGTCTCATGAACATATAGAAAGAAAATAAAATAAAACAATGATTAAGAAATTTTTCTTGTAGTTTTATAAAAGAATGTGGTTATTTATGAAGTTTTTAACTTTCATTTTGATATTGATTTTTTTTTTGACATCTAACATAGTAGATATTTTTTACAAATTTATTATCCTGCTATATTTTATTCATTGATTATAAGACTAAAGAATATTTTAAATAATTCATAGATTTCTTTCCGAAAATAACATTTTGTAACATCAGACAAATTACTCAAATTTTATTTTTATATCAAACATATCAATATGTTAGAAATCTTTTATTTGATATTAATATTCTAAAAATATATCATTAGTAACAGCTGGTGAAGTGAATATTTGATTAAATTTTCACTAATGTATTTTCTATTCTGAATAGCATATTTTGAAAAAATTTTTCAACAAGAATGATAAAAATTTCTTATTCTCAGTTTCCTTGTCTTCAATCACTACAAACTGTTTTCTTCGTTTATAAAATACATTTTTAATGTTTATTTCTTCTATCTTAACTATATTGTGTTACATATACATGCAAATATATAATTGTTCAGATATAATGATGCTGACAAATCAAAATCTTTTACAAGTACTTTTTAAAAAATTCTGTAAAAAAGAAAAGAAACTTAAAATATTCAAAAATGAATAGTCGTAAATAGAAAGCGAAACATAATTTAAGAATCAGATGCTTAAAGCAATATCTATGGCATTATAATGAATCGAACTTTATTTGTTTTCTTTAGAAAATCAATTTACATTTATGTCAATTGCACTGTTGAAGTCAAGATTTTAAGATTTTACGTTAATTATTTACAATCAATATTGCTTTTTATTTCTATCGATTATTCGTAGTCTTGTTGAATGAGATAGAACATAATCATGTGCATGATTAAATATGCAGCTGTACATTTTTGTTATTTTACATGAACTAGGGTCCTAAGAACGTTTTGAATTTGTTCTGAAGAGAGACTAACTCTGTCAAAAACTCGGAATAGGTTAAGTACAAATTTCACGAAGAGCAGGATCATCTATAATTGATATTGAACGAAAACTATTAGAAATTCAGAATGAAAATAATTTAGTAAGATTTTTTTGTTCAGAAACACGAAATTGTTTTTTTGTTTTTATTAAAATGGACATCTAATGTAGATTGATTATTATTTGAAGTAGATGCAGATGACGATGTTGCTGTATCGCATTGATGACGTGTAATGGATTCAGTTGATGATATACCATATCGATACGTACTAAAACAATTCTGACAAGAAACGAAGTTAGAGATTGAGTAAGACTCACCGGATACAACTTCTTTTGCAAAACTAAATTTTAACCACCATGCAGCTGAATGTGTTTTTGTAACGCCATGAGCAGCAACAGTATATAGATCAATTCGTTTGCTCAATAACATTTTAATTTTATCAACTGATTCTTTCACTTCAGATCCTTTTTTTCGATCAATATCATCCAAAATTGCAAATTTAAATGTTGACTTTAATTGTTCATTATTGAATGTTATCGTAGCTGGTGGTGATGAATCATTAATAAAAACAATAATTGGAAAAGAAGATGTTGAATTATCAGATGCCATCTAAAATAATTTAATGAAAGTTTAATGCAAGAAACAATCTATGAATTATGAGATTAAAATAAAAGCAAAATCGTTGTCTCAAAAAGAACTGCGCTTAGAAAAAAAGATTACTTTATAATCGGAAATAATTCTTGGTTTTATTTAGCAAATAACTTTGTTTTTCATTGAATGAATTCTAAATACTTGGTGGATGATGCAATACACGATGAACTTATTAAGCGTTTCAAACATTATCAGCTTGGCTTTCTTTCCTTTTCATTGTATACACACAATGAAACTTCTCTATCTCTAATTATACTAAACACCAACAGAACTCTTCAATACTTAATTGGTAACTAAAGGAGGCGTTCATCATATGAAAGTTTTATATTGAGTGAACTGTTATAAATATACAGTGCATGGTTACTATGACTAATTGCTCACTACGTATCTTTCGTGTTAGACCTCACTCCAGTAAGTGCAAAGTTAAAAAAAGTATTTCTTTTATCTTTTAAATATACTTACTCAGTTTTTATGAAATAAAATAAAATAAAAATATTTTTATATTTGTCAGCAGCTGTACACTACAAAAAATTTTCTTCGCTTTGACGAATTAAGTACATCTTTTCAGAGAGAGTAATTGTTTGTCTCGTCGTCATCTTACTTATAAATAGATAAGTGCGTTATTCTTTGACATGTGGACGATCAATTCATCGCGGACTAATCATTTTCACTGTTTCTTTTGTTTCATACATGCGATGATTTTTTTTAGATGAGTAGACTGACGATGAATTGACCTGTTACTGCTCGATAATGCATCATGTGTTCTTTTTTGTCTTTTCTTTCACATACACGCGCATACATTGTTTTACATGCTCACTATATATAGATTTTATTGTTGAGAGGACCAAAAATGGTGTTCACTATTCAGAGATGGGAGGTATTCATTATATATAGGTCTGTTTACAGAAAAAATTGAAGGGAGGCTCGAAACATTCGTTGGAACAGGGAATTTTCACTAATAGAGGTTTCAGTGTATATGATTCTTTTTTTTTCTATCTTCCATTTGTCTTAATTTCTAACAGACTTGTATTTTGTATTGTGATTAGTACGGTTTGAATAAATTCAAATTCTATTCGTAATGATTATTAGTAATATTCTCCGTCACTCTCTTATTGATTGATCTTGGTACTGTATTTGACTAGCATTTAAGCAAATAATCTAAATATTTACGATATGTATAATCATATGTGTGGCATGAAAATGATTGATTTCAAACCTACAAAGAATCATATCATGTGCCTTTCTATATTCTAATTTAAAGAAGAAAATTAATTATAAAATGTATTAATATGCACGATCTTAATAAATTCTTGTTGTTCATTTTCAATTTGCGATATTTTGATAGGTCTAGATCAGTAAAAAAACTAAAAAAGTAACATTAAAACAAATAGATTAATTACGACTATTTATCATAATTGGTATTTTTAATACAGAAAAAGAATGGAAAAAGATTTTAGCAATCAAAGCATGAACTGGAAATGATATTAAAAATATCTATTAGACGTAAGACAATACAATAAACATTTTCATATTGTAATCAGTATATTTCTCGTACCAACGTAATTAACGTAGATAAGCTTAAAGCTTTTATTATTCTCCGCACTTTAAAATCACTGTAAAATGCAGCATTTAGAAAAAGAATTTAATTTTTCTACTTTATGTGAAAGACTAGTTTAATTTCAGCTGTGAAGCTGGAAATTTTTTAGAATTATAGAGTAAATTTCTGCAAAAAAGTCGAGCCGCGCCACCGTTATGAATGATCTGCCGCGCCGCACTAATCTATAAAAAAAACCTGCCGCGGCAGCGGCGCGATGAATATCTCTGGTGTACAGTACAAAGTCGAAAAAGAATTTCGAGAATTGAAACAAATGTTAAGTTGTTTTATCCTTTCAGTTTACAGCGGATGAAACAAATTGATTTGTGTATCACTTACCGTACAGACTAACACACATAGGACTCAAATTGTGTTTTTTGTGTACTTGACTGCTTTTTAGCTTAGAATAGCATGGTTCAGTTTATATTTTTTTCACTCTTCAGAATATATATTGACACTTAGTATCTACTAAGTTCGAATCAAGAGAACTGTGGTTCCCAATGCCGATTCAGATCTCCCACTAAAATAGCTTGTCTCAATAGAAACAATAGGTTTTTAGGAAAAAATTTCAGATAAATGTCTGGGTTTCTAAAAAACACTATGCAGTACATTGCTCTGCAAGATCCGCTACTTTCAATTTTGTCCGACGCTTTACACAAAATATAAATCCAAATCATGCATAGTCATCTTGGTTTTTTTCTGTAGCAACATTATCTGCAAAACAAATTCAAACAATTCTATTGAAAAATAAATTTACAACCTTGAAATATACAGATATTGATACATACTATGAAAAATTTATAAAAAATCAGTAAGAAAGTATACGATTTAATTTCCAAAAATTATTTCCGCAGTAAGTCTGAGCTCTTGAAGACGTTGTCACTACACTTATTCATATTTTATATTAAGTGGGGAACCAAAACAATACTGCAGTTATGCATTGAAAATATTCAATAAGAATCATAAGAAACCTATTAGCTTTGACGAATTTATGTCAGCAATATCTTTGACTTTGCCAGGCGATGTAGAACTACAACTTAATCGTGTATGTACACATTATGGAATTCTAATACTTTCAGACAATTTCTAGTATATTATTTTAAAGACCTTTGCAATGTGTGCTTCTGATAGCTCAGAAAGCGTGAGTGTCAATGAAATCATCTTATATTTGATAGTTGTCGTCAAACTGAAAAGTATTTCCACGAATAATGTAAGGTCCATTGCAGCCTAGGAATTGGACTTTTACCAGAAAAGACATAATGCAGAAATAACAAAAGAAGAATTCATCAATTGGTGCGTACTTTCTAAAAAAATATTTTTTAAAATCTTCACAGTATTTCACTTTTAGGCTGAAGAAGAATGATTGTTTGCATGCACCATTCTTACTATTGATACCTAGTAAGTAACATGATAAATGGAGAATAGACGAATCGAGATTGAATCAAAGCAATTATCGAATGAGTACTTCTGATAAGATATATCGATCGGGTGTTGCCAAAGAACCAAGAAGAAAAAATTTTATGCTGTTCTTTCGATTGTGCTACGTATTGCCAGCTTATGTGCCGGTAGATTGGTGCTATACGTGCCCTAGTATCTCTTGAATAAAACTTGACATTTCATTAGAAGTTAACTAGGTACAATTTGTTCAATAATCGCTCATCTCATAGATCTTGAAAAATGATACAAAACTGCATATTCTGTAGCTCATTTATTTCATGAGTAGTCAAATCTTATATTCAAAAGATAAATGATGCACATGTAGCGACATTTAAAACTAGAATGAAACTATGGATTATTCTTCGAAACTGAAACTTCAGGGAATCAATCAATTTCGTCTGATATACGTTTTAAATATTATACAGAACCGTCTCTGTGAAAGTTTAGTTTTTGTATAAAATCAATAGTGAATCAGAAAAAAAAGGAGAAAACCAAAGTATCAAACAGAGATAATTCATCTCTTCCAAGTCTTGAACACTAAGCAGCTGTAAAATACACGTTCTAGTCAAGAAAAATTATTTTAAAATGAGAAACTTGAGAGAAACAAAGAGATGTAATAAGACGTGAAAATTTGTTCAAACTACTTTTTGTGCTTAAAAGTATCACTTTTAGTGATTAAACTGATATCCGATCGTTTTTATATTGACATCATAGTTTTTCAAAAATGAAGTTGGTAATAAAAAAAACAGTTCCTTGGTTCTTTAAATTTAAATGGTATATTTGGATAAACATTGTAAACTATGATGCGCACTCCTCTGCATATAACCGACATACGAGATACTTTTCTCAAGCGAAAAGCTTTCTATATCTACTTCCATATTTTGGGATTTATTGTCGTAATATCGTATTTTCAAGATATCGTTTATGGCTTGTCATAGCTCAGTATGTCAATCGGAGTTCGAATTCACCATATAAATATTTATTTGATGTTCAATACAGATTTAAAATTTATTTCAATATAATGTCTATGTTCAGCGTATATGTGTGTTTACTAGATTTAGAAGAGAGAAGTGTTAACTGAGTTCATATTTCAAAAGGCAGTTTTAATTAATTTAAACTAGGAAAGTAACATCGTTTTTTTCTATTTTTCTGATATTATATGTGACTGTTCAACGTGAAATCGATTCTATTCATAAGTTCTTGTTAGTAGTTATCAAAGAAAATATATCAATGAAGAGTATTTCAACAATTTTCGATACTTACAACTAATATTGCGTCTGTTGTCACGTATACCTAAACTTTTCAAGAGATATGATTTGAAAGCTAAATAATCATAATAATAATGGATACTCATCTTAGGAAAAACTATATAAACATATTGTGCCGTTGGTGCTTAAAAAGTTTATCTGTTCAAGCTAAAAATGAAAAAATCTAATTTGAAAATTAAAAACTCTGAATTGTAACTTCAAATGTATTGTATAGTAACCTTAGTTTCTTTGAAATAGTAACAACTTGAAGATTTGATATAGAAATAGGAAAAGTAGGATTAGAACAGTGAAATGAATGTGTATTATACGCCATATATTTGCATGCTTCACATCTGTAAGTTAATTTTGCTGCTACTTTCAGATCAACCCTGGAAATTATTCCCATTAATGAAAAAGTAGTCATTATTGCAGTCTGTAAAAAGCTCAGGCGTCTAAAATTCAAGGTGGTCTTTTCCATTGATGAAAGACCCAGCACCCAATGAGCTCCACCCTTTATTAATATAATTTTTATTAGAAGTATCTGAACATATGATAGATCTCAAAATAGGATAGTATGCATAAGCCAATCTCGTATTTCCTACATTTGTAGCTCGTTTTTGTTTCCTGCTTCAGATTGCGAATCGTGAAGGTGTGATAGGGCGATAGTATAACACTGGCAGAAGGAAAGAAAGAAGAGAGAATTTACAAGTACATGTATAAGCCCTACAGGACTAAAAAGCTTACTTTTCCGGGATTTTTTAGACAAACTGAACGATCGTTGATATTTTTTCATTAAAACTGGGCATTTCCTGCAAAACTTTCATTGCCTACAGTGTATCTCTCGTTATAATAGACAGAACTTGTTATGTAGTAATATGAATTTGAACTTCGAGTACAATTTGGTACTTGTATCAAAAGCAAAATGTCACCGTTCCATACATGGGACATCCGACGCGAAAGGGTTAATCTGTGTAAATTAACGTTTTATGGTGAAGGACAAGTACAATAAGAACACTTATTCAGTTGAATATCCAATTGAAAAATTTCAAATTATCGTATTTTCAAATCAAACACCCACATCCACCCTTGTTCCACTTTTTTTCGAAATCATCATACAATTTTTGTGCCAATGAATCAGAAATGTTATGAGTAAGTTGTAAATGTCGTTTAAACATATTAAGTGTAACTAATCGAAGTTGACATGACATAATTGTTACATTTTGTCGACTATAATTTGATGAATTCATTTTTTCAGAAAAGAAAGGACATAGAACGTTAGAAAACCAATCAATGACATTTTCATTTCTATGAAATAAGAAAGGAAGATATAATGTCATTCAACGAGCTGTATTATGCTTACAAAATTCAATAGAATGGTTTGCTTTAGTAAGACCATATGCTCCATCTAATGTTAATGGACATTTACCAACAGTTTTTCTGTATGAGCTTCGTTTATATTTCACTTTTTCTTCATTTACATGTTCATTCTGACCAAAAGTAATAATAATGAACATTTAAGCACCATGTAAGATTCATTACATAGAAAAAAAAACTTAATTTAGATGAAATACAGAAGAAACAAACTGAGTTTATAATACATATTCTATGAATAGTATTTAACTGACAATAGGACTTTGCTATGAAGCGAAGTTTATTTTTGAAAATATTTCAATTCAAATTTGAAATAAGAATAGCTCATACATTCGAAGAAACAGAAAAGTATTGTCGTAACACTTTATTCAATCAGAAATTTCCTTTTCTAAATAATCTGCAATAGACTGTATCATTTTTTGTATTTTATTTACCACTACTAGTTTTGTTTTTACTTTAATCATTTCTGGTCATTAGACTTAGAGCGAAATTTTACCAATCGTCAGATAAAAAGTCCTTAATTTATATTTAAATAAGATATAGGAATATTTGATATATTTCGATTCACACAGTGACTTTATCGAGTCTCTTGTGAATAATATTATTTTTACCTGAATAGATTTCGTGGTTTCACTAAAATGTACAAAAAAAATGGAATCGGTTTTGAAATATATTTCTAATTCAAAAAAGAAAGAAACGTACTCATTTGAAACAAGGTCAATAAAATCATGACAGATATCCTCTAAATATAATACGCCACCTTAAATCAATCATGTTTGTTCTTATTTTTGAGTCTAAACAAAATTTAACTTACCTTTTGAAATACTCAACTTTTCGGCTACACCTAAAAAAAATCAAAAACTCATATTTTTCTGATTACTTTTTAATCTTACACGAGAACTGCACGGACTGCTCTCCACCATTTGAACTCATTAGATCAGTAATAAAAACTAATTAGCTTAGAGTAAAAAGTAGTGCTCATGAGCTGATTTATTGAAGTTTCAACTTATCTTTCAGAATTTATTCAAAAATAAATAAGCCGAATTACATCAATTTATAGAGATATTAGATTTGCAATAAATACATTTAATTGTCAATGCAACACTTCGATAAATAGACATCTTTCTAGCTGAAACTTTCAGGCTATTCGGCAGGACTTGTAAGGTTAATGTCTATGAGCACGTCTTGATTAAAAATTCAGTAGAGCAGTCATAACTTGACTCATTAACTACAATTACTTTTATTAAGAAATTTTTTTTGGCATCAATACGAGTTCAAATGCTGATTGATAAGTTCACAAGAAATACAATGAAAAGAGAAAGTATTTTAGAAAGAAATTTTATATTACCATTTGAATTCATGTTTTCTTTCTCACATTTGCAAACACATGAACAATATTGAGTTTCTGATAATGATGGTTCGACTTTGACCGTGATTTCTACCATAACAGAAAAAGTAATGAGCAAAAAAAAAGCAATTTTTAATTTAGTTTTTACTTGAACAATTTGATGTTATGACTTGATAAATTTTTTCAAAAATGTTGTCTAGTTTATCGATTGAAATATTGGATTCATCAAGAAATTGTTTTGCTTGTTCAAGTAAATTTTGTTCACGTTCAATAGTTAATTGTTTTTCTTCAAGAATTTCTCTAAGTATATTTACCATTGTATTTAATTCATTAAGAAGACTATCTGATCGTTGTTTACATTGTTTTTGCTATTTCAACATGTTCAATCAAATGATATAAACAACAATGACATTCATATAATTCTTTGATTTCATTATCACATGTTATATCAGTACATGAACCGTTTTGGGGCATTTATGAAAAATAAAAATTGGAAATGTTGTTTTTGTTCAATATTCGTTGAGATATGACGATGATCACTATGGATGAAATGTTTTCAATCATAAACTGATCGACAAACACATACATAGAAAAGAAAAAGAGAGAAGAGAGGAAGAAAGAAAACAGAGCATTCAGGATATAATGTTATCTTCCTTTGTTTTATCGAACAGAATAGTCATACTAACAGTCAGTCAATATCGATAATAAAATTCTTTCATAAAAGCTAAGACAACATGAAATAATCATCGAAAATTTCATTACGATCAAAACTTTCTTAAGTGAATTATCATATGTTGAAAAAACTTTATCGTCAACAGTTAAAGATATAAGATTTCAACGTATTGAAAAGAGATCTTTCGTGC